CCCGTCTGCGAGCGGCGTGACAGGCCAGCGCTTGTCAGGCCGTGTCTTCCCTCCCTCCCTCCCTCCCCACGGGCCGGTGGCTGAGGAGGTGTGCCGGAACGGGTGCCTCGCGTCCCCGCTGTGATTCCTGCGCGCAGCTTCTCGCAGAGGGACAGGAGTCCTGTGCCGGGCTCTCCCGCTGGCGTGGGAGCGCTTGGCTCTTCTTGACCCAGCTGAGCTCTGGGAAGAGCTTGGAGGACAAAGGCCTCTGAGGCCTCTTGCTATCCCTGCTTTTCCATTGTTGGGTGAAACAAATGTCTTATTCAAGCCTCACGGTGCCTAGCGCTTGTACGTATTCCGTACGTCACCCATAAGTGCCTGTCACTGGCCCCGCTCGGGGTGTCCCGGGCAGAGTCAACTGCGTGATAGGACGGGCAGGGCAAACGCTGGCTCTCCCCAGAGTAAAGGCTGTTTGACACGTTCGTGGGTGTCTGTCTGTCGGACTGTGCTTTTCCTTCCCCCAGATCCAACCCTGACTGACCTGACCCTTGTGGTGTTCTCCTAGCCGATGTGAGAAAATAGATTCCTGATGTGCTGCTTGACACAAGGGCCACTTCCCAAAGTGTGGAATTGGACAAGATCTGAGAACTCACCAGGAGTTTCCTGGTCGATTTGTTGAGGTGCTGGACTGCAGCTCTTGGGGACAGAAGTAGTGTTTGCATGGGCACTGCTAGAAGTATCTTAGACTTGAGGTATTGCCTAATTTTAGGCTGTGTCCAGGTGAAGTCTTAAACCTACCTGGGATTAGGTAACAACGTAATTGATTCTGTGAGTCTCCATTTCCAGCAGCAGCTGGTGCCAGATACCTCCCCAGAGGGAGGAGGAGACGTGACGCTCTCCTGATGTTCTTGCCAGGTTACCTCTGTGATGACTCTTCAAGCCGTTAGGCCTGGAGTTCTGGGGTTTGTCTCCACTGCAACGATGCTTAGGTAGGTCCAGCCACACTTTGCTGCATGTTAAAGCAAGGACGTAAGTGCTGCGTGTGGGAAAATACCTTTAAGTCGCATGCTAGTTGAACAGCAAACATGAACTCTGTACTGCCTGGGTGTTTGTGAATGATTGAACTTTTCCAGAGGGTGCCCAGGCAAAGTCAGGACTTGCAGTCCTGCTTTCCTGCAGCAGCAGTGCCTACTTCCTTCAAAAGGCATGGGATTATTGGGATTAGGTGTCTTCCTATGCTGAGAAGAACGGCTGTGCATCTTGACTGTGAAGCTTGCTGTAGAAATGGGTATAGGGGCAAACTAACTGCTGGCTAGATGAGATAGGGATATCTTCTCAGAGGGTTTAAATGCCATTATTGGGAAATAAATGTTTGGAGTGCTGGAGTGTTCTGCACCAAACATTCTCTCCACTCTACAGCCTGGCTATCCCAACTCCCGTAGTTGTTGGACTTCACCCAAGCAGGCTGCTCTCAGGGCTCCAGGGAGGTATGTGTTTACCCTGAACATCAGCCAGGGTCTCGATGAGCAGAGCTCCTCGTAGCAAATGAAACGACGTTCCAGGCTCTGCGGGGGGGGCAGGCAGCTGCTCGAACCTCCCCCTTGGTGTGTGGGACACTGCCTCTTTCAGAGGAGCAGAATGCCCTGAGAAACCAGGGCTTTGACCAGTGACTGTGTTACGGGCTCTCAGTTGCCAGTTTTTTGAATAAAAGCAATGATGTTTGGTGGTAAGAGAGACAAAATTATTTTGATTTCCCCTCCTCCCAGTTCTCATGCAATATCCTAATACTGAAAAGGACAGGGGTTTGATTTGTGCTGACTTGTCTCTTGAATTCACAGCTTATCAGGGAGGTGTCTGTACTAGAGATGGTATCAGGAAAAATCGAAGCTTCCGTATTTTCCTGTATGTGTACTGGCCTCACCTCGGGCTACAGGGACTGGTGTCATCACTGCCCTGCCTATTGCTATAGAGATGAACATCTCAGACTGACCCTCTACAAAAAAAGCCATGGGAGATACAAGTCTGAGCGCGCACCAAAGTCCTTAAATGACTTTTTGTGTGCTAACCCCCTCTTCCAAGAGCAGACAATGCTACTGGAACAATAATTTACTGTTCTGATTGATTGTGCCACTAGTAACAAGCTTGGGTAAAGGCTTCTGAGACCCCATGAGATGCCTCCTGTGTAGCACAGAGAGCAAAGCTCCCGCGTTGGTGAGTGCTGCTAAACGTGGGTGTGGAGGCTCTGAGTGAGTTGGTAGACTTGTCTTGGACAATGCTGACTTCAGGAGCCATGCCGTGTCTGTCTGGCCAGTGGTTACCTTTGACTGTTGCTGCTTTTTACTAATTTCTGAGGTTTGATCTGGTGTGTTGCTTTGGGCTGGAGTTAACATCAACGTTCAGGCCTCTTCCGAGGGATGAACAGTGCTGAAGTGCTCTTTGTGGCTCTGCTCTCACCTGCTGCTTTGTTCTGGTGGCTGTTGCAGGCCTGGCAGCGCGCAGAGGCAGCACACCCTTCCTCCAGGATTCTGGCTCTCCCGAAGTATAAGATAAATCAGAACCAGTTCATCTAGTTTAATTTTGGAATCTGCATTTCTTGAGCAGTGCCTGGCCTGAAGTAAACTGAGCAGAAAGCCGGAGTGTCACGAAAACGTGTGTGTCTGTATTGGCAGGAGGGTGGCTGTGCTGTGCGTGGGGCAAGCAGGCTGTGCCCCCGTGCCCACGACAGGCTCCTGGCTGAGCCCGGACAGGTTATTTGCCTCTTTGCTTTGGTTTTCCTTCCCCATGGTGGGTGTTTCCTGCTGCTCGAAGCTGTGTGATGAGGGAAGGTAGGTCCTGTTTGCTGACCTGGTGTGAACACGCTTGCAGTTCTAGTGAGTGATCAAGTAGACAATACAGCACCCAAACCTGGTTTCCTCAAATGTCTCTGAGCCCTTTGCTGATGTGCCTTTCTGCCCCGGCTGCCTCATCCTGCCCTGAACTCCTCTATCCTAGGGATGAGGAGGCTGTGTCGTGCCCCCAGTGACTGCGCTGGGCTGGCTCGCGTCACCAAGTAATGTGTTTTGGTCGGTCCTCCCCTTGGGGAAGGCACTGTCCCAGTGAGCCCCAAGGCTGTGTGATCACGGGGAAACCTTCGCCCTGGTGATGTGTCCCCCAGGCTGGGTGCCGTGCCGTGCTGCACCCGGGGATGGGTGCTCAGACCTGGCTGAGTCCTGCCAGAGCATGGAGGGCATCGAGAGCGGCTGTAAGACAGGGCTTAAAACTCAGGGGAGAGGAACCAGAGGGCGGTTAACTTGTCACTGGTGAGCTTGGTGTGAGCTGGGAGCCAGCAACTGATGGGCTGGTTCTGGCTCTGGGCTAACAAGCTTGGCGAGCGTGCAGCTGCTCCTCGGCTGGTCTCCCAGCCTGCAGACATGCAGATGCAGCCCACCAAGGGAGACTGAGCTGAAGTGGAAGGGCGTGGAGGGATGGCTCCCTTGCAGCGAGTGCTCTCCAAAGAGCCAGCAGGCAGCTTAGTGCCTTGCTGGTCTGGCCAGGCTGCCTGTAAGGTGGTGGTGCTGTTCCACGCAAAGCTGATTACAGGCCCATTTTATAAATGAGCTGGCTGGATTTCGGGCTTAGCAGGGGTGTTTGGCTGGTGTAAGCCAGGTGTCTCACTCCTGCTTCTGGGTACCTCTTGTGCATCCTGCTACATCTGAAGAGATTTTTTATTTTTTTTTCTTTTGCAAGAGAGGAGGGAGAACCCAGTTACTTCTGGGGTTTGAAGTAAGCCCTGCTGGGCAGGAGAGGAGTGTGTGAGGGGTAGCAGGAGCTATCTGCAGCTCACTCTGAACAGAGAGCGGCTGCTTTGACTCTTCATTGAGTACAGCCCGGGAAAGGCAGAGCAGTGAAATCTGCCCCTGCTTTGGAAGTTCCTCTTCATACACTCCGTTGCAGGGAAGGCTTTTGTTTCCCCTGGGAGCTGCCCGACTTCAGAGCTTAGCTGGCCTAATTCACAGCTCTTCCAGGGGAAGCTTCATACTGCTGTGGAAACGAAGTGGCTTGCTCTTCCTCCTGACTGAAGGAGGGGTGCTTGCCTTTCTAGTTGCTCTGCCCAGAGCCTGACATTGAATGACATATTTGGTAGCACCAGTGGAAAGCAGCTTTATCACAACTTCAATGCAGATTGCTAATGTTGAGGTCTCTGGTCACCTTCAGCAGCCATTCTGAAGTGGGAAACCTAACACAGGCTGCTTCCTGTGTTGTAGGCCTCCTCTGAGGTTAACATTTGGTGAACTGGGTGTTACCATTGAGGTTCACCTGGGGTAACTAAACTGAACCAGCACTGCTCGCTCGGAAGTGCCTGGTGTGCAGTGGAAATGGCCAGCAGCTGCTCCTTACCACCCTGCGTGGTGATGCAGCTCAGAGGCTCCTCACTAGACTGCTCAGCATGTCATACCCATCCCTTTGCTAAAGCAGCTTCCCTCTAAAACCCTCTCTAATTTTGCCTTTCAGATTGTCTAATCTCCAGCACTGACCAGCAATGCCATCAGCTATGGAGGGCTCAGAGGGGGGAGAAGAAGGGGAAATCTTGAGCTATGAGGAAACAGAAGATGACAATGTCAGGTGAGTCCTGTCGTGCAACATGGCACAGACACGGTCTTGGGCGAGGCAGGAGACCTTCCAGGTAAAGGAGTGATCTTTTTCCTCGTCTGAAAGGAGTGAGGGACTCCAATAGGTGATTAACCAAATATATGTGCAGTAAAATCTGTTTAATCAAACTGTACTGGAAGGGATGGGAAGGAGCGATCTGGCTAATGCTGACAACAAGCAGTTGGGTTTTTTATTCTCTACTATCAAACTCGAATTTCAGAAATGCTTTGACCATTTGGCAATTGTGTTTGTGCCTTCCTGGCCAAGGTGAGCCAGTTTTCCGTGGCTTGCTGGGCAGTCTCATGTGATAGCAGCAGCTTCTTTTGAAAGATGACCCTAGAAGTGAACTCTGCTCCAGTGAGCTGCCTCTCTTGCCTTTGCAGAATACCTGCTGGTCTAGGCAAGAATCTTTTCTTGGAGGTTAGTTTAAAAAACAAATTCACACACATACTCTAAAAGCTGAGGCTTCAGATTTGGAAAATGGGAAGGGTGAATAGGGTGCTTCCCAGAACACCTAGATGCATTTGACAGGCTCAGTTTCCTAAGAAATTAATGCTCTCTGGCTCTCCTGGCACATCCAGGCCTTGTCCAGTCCTTAGCTGCAGTGTTCGGCTGCTCGGTGGGTCTGGAGTCTTCAAAGTCTCTTACAGCTAATAAGAACATGCTATCTGTAGCAAGCCAGTCCTAAAAACTGTAAGGCACACTCTGGCATCATTTTGTGTGAGTGTATGTGTCTAACACTGTACCAGACTCCAGGTAGGTGCAGTGGCTGTAACCTAAAAATCGTAGATTATTGTTTAGAAAGACAACTTGTAGAAACCTGCAAAACCAGTGTGATTCAGGATGAATGAACTTTTTAAGGGTGTTCTTGCCCTGTTTTGCCATTTGGCTCTCGTCTTCCTCTCTGGCAGTTGATACCCAAGTCAGAAGAGCTAGGGCCCTGTCTGTGTGTGCATCTGCTCTTACCTCCAGAGTGATGAAGGAGGATGCCACTGAGGCTCCTTTAGCCTGCCCCGGTAGTTGCTCTTTGTATGCTCAAGGCCTCCTTTTGTGGTATTTTGTGGTATTGCTTGGGCTCACGTGGATGAGAAGCAAAAGTAATGGTGCAGGGATCAGAGGATCCTTGGCAATTGCTTCAGCATCCTGGGTGCGAGCCCCTGGCAAGCCCCGTCCCTCCCAGAAGGACAAATCCAGTTGGCACATGGGTGCCCACATCTGCAGAAGGAGCCTCTGGCTGCTGCCACCCTGCTGCTTCCTCCTGGGGGTGCCAGCCTGAGGGATCCCACCTTGGGCCTTCTCCAAAGTGAGCCTGAGAGGGGAGTGGGGGGGGATCCCTGTAAACACAGCAGGGCCAAACTCGTTACTGCGTGTGGAAGTGGGGTGAAAGTAGCTCTCCCTGTTTGCCTGCAGTCCCACCGACCTTTCAGAGCTGCTGAAGGAGGGGACTAAGGAATCCCATGACCGTGCGGAGAACACTCAGTTTGTCAAAGACTTCCTGAAAGGACGGATCAAGAAGGAGCTCTTCAAGGTGAGCGCTGCTCTGCTCCCATGGCAGAGAAGCTCTTTGACATGCCCAGTGACTGGTGCAGGCTCTGTGTGGAGGGGATGGGGGGAATCCAGACTGAACAATCAGAAGTACAGGAGGGTGCTGGCCTGGCACTCCTGCACCGGAGGGCACTGTACCTACAGCTGGGGCCCCAGGGGTGAGGAGCATGCTGGCCCAGCACAAGTTTGATTAGGTGGAAGTGCTGGGCTTCCGGCCACGTGTCTGCTGGCCGCATCACAGGTACTGGTGGCATAAGCTGTTCAGGAGTGAAATCCTGGTGAGATTACAGCACTTACTGCATCGAAGAGCAGGCTGTTTTCCATAGACTTCGGGTTAGATTGCTTTCTCCTCTGTACAGAAGAGATGGTATCCTGGGTCTGAGCAGCACTGTCTGATCCTGAAGGTCTTGGCATAGACGGTAGCCTCCTATAGCACAGGGCTGTTGGTGCTAGTTGTACCTTTTGGATGAAGTTTGTCCCTGTGTCTTGCTCTCAAGGTGACGGGAGGCCTGGAGCACACAGCTGGTAACATTCAACTAATTCTTATCTCATGCCCTGTAGGCGTTGTTATGAACATAGATAGAGAAGAGCTTCTGATCCTTATGTACGGGCTCTGCAGGCTGGTTTTGTGTCCAGCCTGGGGGTTTCTGCCTTGTTCACCCCAACTCCGTGCAGGGGGGAGTAATCCTGAGGTGTGATGTGCCGATCCAGCGAATGGCGTCTCACTAGCTGTGCTTTGTCCGTAGCTGGCCACCGTGGCACTTTACTTCACATACTCTGCTCTGGAAGAGGAAATGGATCGCAACAAGGACAACCCAGTCTTTGCTCCTCTGTATTTCCCCCTAGAGCTTCACCGGAGAGAAGCATTGGTCAAAGACCTGAAATATTTCTATGGAGAAGACTGGAAAGAGAAGATCCAGTGTTCAGAGGCAACTCAGCACTATGTGCACAGGATCCATCATGTGGGACAACATGAGCCAGAGCTGCTAGTGGCTCACGCTTACACACGCTACATGGGGGACCTCTCAGGTGGCCAAGTGCTGAAGAAGGTAGCCCAGAGGGCCCTGAAGTTGCCAAGCACTGAGGAGGGGATCCAATTCTACATGTTTGACAACATTTCCAATGCACAGCAGTTCAAGCAGCTCTACAGAGCGAGGATGAATGCTCTGGACTTGGACAAGAACACCAAGGAAAGGATTGTGGAAGAGGCCAACCGAGCCTTCAGATTTAACATGCAGGTACTGAATCCCTTGAGCCCCTGTATCTGTGGTTGCTGCTGCTTTGGGGTCTGGACCAGCTCTTAGGTCCAGCTTAATTCAGACTGCTCATCTAGGCCCAGCGGTTTGGTTCTGAGACCACCACAGCCCTTCCATCTGGTAGGGGTGGGATTCTAGTTTGAAAGGCTCTTCCGCTAGCTTCTGCAGACATGACTGGTGCTGGGCAGGAATTCCTCCCATGCCCCAACCCCCCAGTCGAGCCTTTGATTGGGGCAAAATCGAGCTGACTTCACCACAAGATTCCCGTGGGCTGTGTGGCTTTGAAGCAGCAGGAAGAGCAGAGCTCTTGCTCCAAGACAGCCTCAGATTTGAGCGTGTTACACCCCACTGGTTACAGTTTGTCTCCTGTCTGATGCGTTGCCTAATGGCCAAAAATGTCTGTAGCCTCTTGTTCCTTCCCATCATTTGCCTTTCCTAAAACCTGACTGAGCTGCCTCCCTGCCCCAGGGGGCTGAACACAGTCTTAGCTACTGCGGGGAAGCTTTAGCCTGTGCCTATAGCAGGTCGTTGTGGGTCTGCGGGAGGAAGGGGAGAGCGTGTGGCCTCGTGCTCCCACTTGCAGCAGCCTGGATGGCAAATGGCAGGGCAATGCCACATCTGTCTCGCTCCTGCCTCTGACTTGATGCTCTGGCAATGGGCTGCGCCTTCTCGGAGCTGTAGCATGTGCCAGATGGCACTGTGGGTCTGCCACAAGGTGCTCCAAAATGAGTAGCAAATGCTGTCTTTGGGTGGAGGGAGGCAGAAGAGGCTCTTGCCTGTTCTCCAGATCCTTCCAGGGCTCCAGATGAAAGCTGCCCCTCTCTGCCTGCTCACGTACTTGCTGTGTGACCACTTGCAGGTATTTGATGAACTGGACAAGATTGGCAGGTCGCTGACAGAAGCAGCCCAGGACGGAGGCTTTCCAGTCCACGATGGGAAAGGAGACCTACGCAAATGCCCTTACTATGCAGACAAACTAGGTAGGTCACGGTCAACAACAGAGCTGCCACACGCGTACGGCACAAGACTCGCAGCAGTAACGGTGCTCTCTGTGTTCTAGCAGGCAAGGCAGGAACCAGCTGTCCCTATGATGCTGCCGTGGCCTTGGCAAAGCAGCCCCTGGTGCAGCTGATCCTGGCGGCCTGCGTCGCTGTGGCAGCAGGAGCTGCAGCGTGGTACATCATGTGATGGGGAGAGCGGTGCCTGGCTCTAAAAGGTGGCCCTGTCCTTTTTCAAACTGTTCCCTTGCTGTTGGTGGTGAGTTGACTGCAGGGTGGAAGTAAGAAAATAAACAGGAATCCTGCGGGACTGTCAAAGACTCTTTGCACACCAATAATGCAAGCACTGTAATATAATGTCTTTAGCTGACTAGTGTACAGGACTGATCCGGTGTGAGGATTCCACTTCAGCATGGCCCTACCCAGGCTGGGGCAGCTTTTAAGGCTAGAGATGTCTTGTCTTGTACCAGCAAAGGCTTCATGTGCGTGCTTGGCTTTTCATCCCCTTGCCGGGAGCAGTCGCTGGAGGGAGTTTCCTGCCCTGGGCTGCAACCCCAGAACGCGTCACCAGCCTTTGCAGTGAAGAGCGCTTGGTTTCCTACCCTGAGAAACATGTTTCGGTCGTGCTGCAGTGGCTGTGACGTGGGGCTGCTCGCTCAAAGGACTGTCCTGCGTGTTGCAGTGTCCTGGGGACCAAGTAGAAGGGGGTTGGAGGAAGCTCCCTGGGGTGGGGACAGGACTGGGGTGGTTTAAGGTGACAAATGTTTATTGTGCAGCACTGGGGTTGTTGGTTGCTGTGTTGTGTTTTGTTTTGTTTTTTCCGAAGCCTTGACTGGAATAAAAAGTTGCAACGCTGTAGCTGGGGAAAGCTGAAAGCACATCACTGGGCCCAGAGGTATAGGGCTGGGGGGGATGCCAGAAGGCTGGGGAGGAGGTTAATGGGGAGAAGGGGGGTGTGTAACCGCTCCCACACTGTTCTATGTGTCTCTGACTCACACACTCCCTGAGACACTCCTGCCCTTACACCCTGCTCTGTCCCTGCTGCCTCCCCTGGGCTTTGCCCCAGCTCCTGGGGGGAGGGGACCCACTGCCCCTGCTTGAAGGGCACAGCCAGGCCCTGTCAGGGCCCGGGGCTTTCCCCGGGTGAGGGGCTTCTGCTCTGCTGGGGGCAGTGCTTCCCCAGAGGCAGGGAGGGGCTCTGGGTTGCACCCCTGCCCTTGCTTTGCTGGGCTTCGGGACATGGGTACCCCTCTGCTCTCCTCTAGCCCAGAACTGGGGGGGCTTTTCTCCTCTTCCATGCCATCCCTCCTCATCCTCGCCTCCCTTGAGGGCAGAGCTGCTGTGGATTTGGAGCAGGGAAGAAGAAAAGATGTACATGAGTTCAGGGTCTGTTATTTATTTACATAAAAACACTGACTAGTGCCACAGTTCCACCTCTGAGCAAACAGCAGCTGCCTGTGCAGGCCAGGCTGTGTTTGCAGACCTGTGTACAGAGAGACACCCCCCATCCCCAGCCCTGCTTCCCTCTGGGGGCTGCAGCTCCAGCTGCCCTGGCTACCGGGGGTGGGGGCCAGGGGAGGGAGGAGGAGGCAGCACAGCCACAAAGAGGCCAAAAACTGGCTCCCAGGTCCTCTCGCCCTCGTCCGTCACAGTGCTGCTGGCAGCTCCTGTCACTGCCCGTGTGCCCCCCTTCCTTCTGCCCTTTATCAAGTGAGCTAAAATTAAACCCCTACACCCACATGCAACAGGGAACCCCACAGGGTGCAGCCGCGGTTGGGTGCTGCGGGGGGGTGTGCCCACAGACCCTGCCGGGCTTGGGGTGGGGACGGGGCTCTGCAGCGGGTGGGCATGGGTCTGCTCCAGAGCTGCGAGCCAGCTGCGGTCTGGTAACAAACTCCTCTAATCTACAGCGCTGGGGCAGGGAGTGATGTGCTGGGTGCATTTTTGCTAACAGTTTGCCAGGTGGGTGAGAGGCTGCTGGGGGCAGCTCTCAGCAGCTGTAGCCACAGTGCTGCTCTGGCAGGAAGGAGGTGCTGATCAAGGGTGCAGTCCCAGGGCAAGGCAGCTGCTGTCCCCCCCTACACCGTGCCTCGAAGGCGG